CATATTGGTTTTGTCTTTGTCATGATGTTTTTGTTTGTTTGTTTGTTTTTTGAGGCAGAGTTTCCCTCTCCAGTCGTTCAGGCTAGAGTGCAATGGCACGAACTTGGCTCACTGCAACCTCCACCTCCTGGGTTCAAGAAATTCTCCTGCCTCAGCCTCCTGAGTAGCTGGGATTACAGGCGCCCACCACCACGCCTGGCTAATTTTTGTATTTTTAGTAGAGGTGGGGTTTCACCATGTTAGCCAGGCTGGTCCTGAACTCCTGACCTCAGATAATCCACCCACCTTGGCCTCCCAAAGTGCTGGGATTATAGGCCTGAGCCATGGCGCCCAGCCTTCTGTTTGTTTTTTTAAAAGACAGGAACCTTAGACAGGAGTTTAAGATCTTTTCAAATGGTCAATCTTGCCAAATAAAAAGTTCACAACCCACTGTCAGTCCCTAGATGCTGTTTGCGCAGGTTGACTGATCCATCAACCCCCAAATCCAGAACTCTTGAGCCATGGGGTAGAGATGATGGTCTTCGGGTGTTCAAAGAACAGCTGGAGCTCAATGTCAGGTCACTTGGGGAGCACCTGGGACAGGACGAAGGAGGACAAGGAGCACATGAAGGGGTGTGTGTGGGTCAGAAACTGTACAGGGACTGAGTAGTGGAGTCCATGGCTGGGCCTGTGCTCCAAGAGGAAGGGAAAGGGATCTGGCAGGGCTGGCTGGGTTGGAGGTAGAGAGAATTTATGAGCAGGAAGGCTGTGTGCTCAAGGAGGTATGCTGCTGTTTGCGGTGCCTTAGGCAGCTTGCCAGAGGCATTTTCAACCAAGCCACACCACGTAATGGCCAAAATTGTTCCCACTCATAACCACAGCTGGCTGCCTGGCTGAATGGAAGGCTAGAAAAATGACTCAAGTGCTAACTGCCTAACAAGCCTCTTGTGACAGACACATAACCATGTGGCAGCCCCATTTAAACCATTTCCTTGAACAGCAGCCATTGGCCCACCTTTCTCTCCTCTACCCTGTCTCCCCTTTTTCCTTTTATAACGACACTTTTTAGGAGCTTGGGTGGGATAGTTAACCCACTAGACACTTAACGTTATAACTGGATTTTTGAGGTACATTGGTCTGAATTTTAGGGAGAAACAGTTCATGCTAAAGCCTGATTTTCTCAATCCTGTTTTTGTTTTTGTTTTTGTTTTTTGTTTTGATTTTTGGTGTTGGTTTTTTTGTTTTTGTTTTTTTTTTTTGTTGTTGACAGGGTCTTGCTCTGTCACCTAGGCTGGAGTGCAGTGGTGGGACTGTGGCTCACTGAAACCTCCACCTCCCAGATTCAAGCAATTCTCATGCCTCAGCCTCCCGAGTGGCTGGGATGACAGGTGCGTGCCACCATGGCAGCTAATTTTTGTATTTTTAGTAGAGATGGAATTTCACCACGTTGGCCAGGCTGGTCTTGAACTCCTGACCTCAGGCGATCCACCCCCTTCGGCCTCCTGAACTGCTGGGATTACAAGCGTGAGCCACCACACATGGCCAATCCTGGTTTTTTTTCTGTAGACTTCTGTAGTCATCTGGCCTGACTTTAACGTCAATTGTGATTGTAACTGGGCTGTGCAGTAATGGCTACTTCTGGCAAAATCAGTTTTTCTTCCTCGTGACCTGAAGTCAGGTGGCATTTTTGGATTCACAGTGCTGTTCATTTGGGGGCTTTTTTGTCTGTAATTTATTCAGGGTTTTGGTCTTCTCTGAACTTGGAAGGTTTGTGCAATCTCTGTGCACTCTGGCCCAGAGGTCTCAAGTTCTGTTCCTGCTGGAGGCTGAGGCCTCAGTTTCACTCCCTCTACAGGAAGACAAAGGATGTCAATGTGTGAGCCTTTGTCATGTGAGGACCCACATGCCGGAGCAGCTTTGTCCAGCTTGTAGAAGGGATGGGATGGACTTGGCCCTCCACTTGCCCCTATGCAGTGCCCTGGAATGCCAGGGCCACGTCTACGGTCAGTCCTTCACCACCTAAAAGCAAGCTGATCCACAAGGCACCTGGCTGCATGCAGGCCTGCCATCTACGGCCACCATCCTCAGCTTCAGAGCTTATGATCTGGCTCAGGGAACACAGACAAGTACACAGGCAGTTACAACCCAGAGGCAGAAATGTCTTCGAGGAAGTACAGGCAAGGTAGGCGAACACCTTGACCCAAGTACAGGGTTGAACCCAGTCAAGCCTGTAGCACTGGACACACTGACTCTTACCCACTATGTGGACCTTTCACAAATAATCTTTGTTCCTGGAACAAGTCCATGGAAGCTGTTGCCTAGCAATGTTTTTTTATTTTTTAGAGACAGGGTCTTGTTATGTTGCCCAGGCTGGTCTCGAACTCCTGGGCTCAAGTGGTCCTCCTGCCTCGGCCTCCCAAAATCCTAGTATTAACAAGCCTGAGCCCCTGTGCCCAGCTGCCTAGCAATTCTTTTTTTTTTTTTTTTTT